TTTGTTTTGTTTGTTTTCCACGAAAATTATTGAGACTTTTTGGTGGAAATTAACCTTAGCTGAAAAAACTGCTTTTTTGGGGGGGAGGGATTATTATACAAAAAAACATTTATTACTTGTTTTTTTAGGTAACTGTATGGTTGTGACTTCATGGCACAAATTATAGATTGTGTTATTGTGATATAAACAAATCAGATAAAGGAATTAAGAATGGTTGAACAGGAAAAACAACATATGTACTAAATAAATGAACCAAATGTTCACAAATAGAATTCAGTAATAAGTTACACCATTATCACACATTATTTTCTAATACTTTTAAATACTCCTATTTAAAAAAAACCCAAATACTTCAGATATCCTCATCAATTTAAAGTGTGCTGAGTATTTTATTTTTTGGTCCGTTTCTCCTACCTCAGCATGTTCCACTTCCTGTGTCAGCTGTTCTCCGTTATGCTGATGATCTCCAGACAGCTTCCCATTTTCAGGTAAACTCCAGTTATCTTCATTCTAAAACAGCAGAAAGAAAGAAGGAAAAAACACATTTACTCTCAAATACATACAGATATATAAATATAAGCATTTTACAAAAAAAAATAAAGTGATGGCGTTTAAACAGAAGAATCTGAGACGGGATCAATTACTTTAACGATGCGACAGACACATAAAATATTATGAAATCAACTGAAAAAAATACACAAAGTTGCAGGTGTTTCTGCTCGTGTTGAAACAATTAATCACAATTCATCAATTATCAAAAATAATCCTCATGGTTGAACTCAGACATTTCTAATTTAGTAATCGATTAATCGTTAACTGGAGTACATGGACTCAAAAAAAGGTCATTTTCTGAAAAAACCTACAACATATTCAGAGCAGTAACTAAGCCAAAACTGTACAAAAATTGTACACATTTTGCATTTAAGATACAAAAAGAAAAGAGAATTTTGTCTGTAAATAGATTTCAGCCAAACATCTTCAAGAAGAATAGTTTTAGCTTTGCCTGGTTCAGATTTACTAAAGTATAATATTTATTTTCTTACTTTTAAAAAAGGAATTGAATTGTTTATACATTTGCATCTTTTAATGTACTTCAAATATTGTTTTAAAACGTTCTAAATGGTAAAAGCAAGAAAAAAAACTGATTTAACGATTAATCGTCAGAAAAATCAATTACTTAAATAATCATGAATTGCAGCCCTGCTTTCGCCAGAACATTTATAATATTTTAGATTATTTCAACATCACACATTTATAGAGCGTTACCTTCTCATTTGGGTCTGGATCCCCTGACTCCTCCGTCGACTGGAAGTCCTGGGAGGATGCATGACTCTGAGCCTCTGGCTGTGGCTCCGTGGATCCCACGTAGCAGCTACTGCAGTAGAAGAGAATCAGCGCCATAATAATGATACTGCGTCACCTTGAAGGGTAACCTCCTAATAACACCACTATGTACATTATACAGCAGCAGTCTGTGCCATTAAGTAGTCTATTTACATGTATTTATTTAAAAACAATTCAGATAATTGATGTACTTTTAAAAAAATTATTGTGGCTCATGGACAATCCATTTTAATATAGCTATAAAAAGGAACGTTGGGACATGCAATATTCATGAAGTGGTCTACTCAAACTCAATAGCAAAAAGTAGAAAACTACTTCTGCTGCTAGTTTCAAAACAGAGCAACAAATAAACAATAAATGTAAAAAATATATATAATTTGGTTCAAATTGATAAATTAGCTATTGTTCACATCAACTAATAAGTAAATAAATCACATTTGTTATTATTATCACATTAATACATAATACGGTGACTAAGGGAGCACCAGATATTTACTGACAACATAAACTAAAACTGCTATTTCTTTAAACCGAGGAACAAAATTTAACTAAGAATATCCAAAACAGTCATGGCCACAAAGATTTCTACAGAAATGCTTATACTAGTAAAATATTGCGTCATCCTTCCCGCTTTTTGACTAAGCAGTCAGTGGTTGATATGCTGTAATTAACCTTTAATATCATGGGTGGGACACTTTCTTATCCCGCATATACTATCTCTGTTGGCATAATGAGTTCTGTCAGAAGTTCATATTCCCAACGACTTCAGGCTTTTTAATCTTTTTGACACGAGGGATAAAAAAAAAAAAAGAGCCACTAACCGGTCAGCTGGTGAACCAAATCTGCCTCTTATAGACTGATATGAGATAGTCATTATAAAGAAACTGTTATTACTCGTGCAGAGAAAACTGTAGGGTTTGTTAAGAAAGCTACTATTGTAGTCCTCAAATAGATTTGAAATTTGAATAATTTATAAACGTACCAAGACGTTAGCGACTGTACAACATATTCCTATGGCTACTTGTTGATGGAGTATTGTTAATTCAACCTCAGTCAGCGGCGAAAGCTACCTCATCCCAACAGGTCAGAAGTCAGCCAGGTGCCACATCACAACATAACGTCAGGGCTAGCTAGCTAGCTAGCTGCTGCTATACGAGTGTATTACGGTTTGAACACGCCATATTTGCAGTCAATTACTTTGTTAGTCTTCTTCTATACGGCAAAATGCCAGGAAAAACAAATGTTTTTAAACATGACAGGTGGTTAAAAAATTAATTTAAAAACTCACCAAAAGAGTACAGCTATACATAGCCACACTGACACACTTCGCCACAACAGTTGTGTCATCTTCATCCCTGTCCTGCCGGGACAGACATCGTCGCCGCAAACAAAGAAACGTTTATCCTTTTAGTCTGTGGCTTCTTCAGCTGTGTAAAATATAAAATCACCCGATATGCTCGGTTTACGTCCCTGACATGTAACAGTCGCACTGGTTAACTGTGATGCTAGCCGCAGTTTTCCCAAACACAACCTCCTCTTGACAGTCAGTGCAACTCGACGTCCAACAGACCAATGAAAACGCGGCGTCGCCGTTGCGCAGTTCAAACGCCGGGAGCGCTCGTTTTCTACACGCTCGCTGGCCGGTTATGCTGAGCCACTTTCGCTCAATGTTAAGTCTGTACTCAAGCCGCTCTATTAAGAATGAAGTCTCTCCATCATATTTGTTGTGGTCTTTTCTGTCGAACCTAATTCTACTCTCTTATGTTTTTGCTTTGTTATCGAGCCATGGCGCTCTCAGCGAATTGATTGGTACTTCAGATTATCTATATTACAATAACTCATTTGATTAAATATAAATAAAAATGAAAAAAAAAGAAAACAAATCTTAATAATTAAAATACTTTTTGTTTGGTTGGTTGGTTGTTTTTGTAGCCAAACACTTGAAAAGTAGGAGCGAGCTGGAATTGTCCGACAGCAAATTACCGGGGGTAACTATTTCCTGTTGTAGCATTTCATAAAAGTGACCAGTAGGGGGAGTTGCATGGTGTAGGAGTAGAGCGCGCGCCCCATAAACAAAGGCTATGTGTTTGACACGAGTTCGATTCCCGACCTTGAGACTCTTGTGAGGCGTCATGCTTTAGCTGCATCTCTATCTTCCCCAAGCCGATTTCCTGTCTGGTAGCTCATAATAAGGGCCATTAATGGCAAAAAAATATACATGCACATAAAAATAACAGCAGAGAAATAACTAGATAAATCATATTAATTTATTCAATAAATTATATACGGTTACTTAAAAATAGTCAATTATGTTATTTATGAAGTGCTGAATCAGAACTAGGAGGATGAAAAAGAAAAAAACATAACCATTTCAGAGTTATTCAAATGCTAATGCACGAGTATAAGGTGAATGCATCGTCGTCAAAAACATAGCTATTAAGTGACATGTTCAAAGTGGGTCGTTTCGACAAGTGAATGAAAATACTGTAACCTAGGAAAAACAATGGCAACATCGTAAAGACGAGTTTAAATAAAACGATTTGCAATGAGGGGCTTTTTAAGATAAAGTATCGCGAGACTTGCGGTTATGGGAAATGTTTAGGCTTATCAGAAACCAAAAGTAACCCGAAATTATGTAAAGCCGTTTCAGGCTCTAATTGGTAGCCAAGCCGATCAAATACAACTTACTTTGTAGTGTTGGTTTTCTCTCACACTTTTCCGACATTATTTTTTACGGCCACTGGAGGGTGCTGCTTACTCACCTTTGAAACATTTTCAAAGCTTCGTCTCGTTTGTAAATAACCTGAAAGACAAGCTGGCTCTGGTCGTAAAATTCTAGTCAGCCTTTTCAGAAACAACAACAACAAAAATCAGTCAACCTTACTTTATATATAGTTTGTTATCTAAACAATAATTGTTCTGCTACCATTTTATAATTTGTGATTTCATAAAAGTCAAAATCCTCCACCGAAAATAAAACTCAACACAGATATCCCCAAATGTATGAGTGAGGTTACAGAGTCCTTTTGGGTACAATCATTTCCATTTTGTTTTTTATTCTTGTGTTTTAATCTACTTCCTCCTTCAAACTTGTCCACTTGAATTTTGTATCTCTGCAGCAAAACATTTGCGCTCTAAATGAAAACACAGCAAGGATTTCTGGGAAATTTGGTTACGGTAAAACCCAATGGAAAGCTGTGTGTCATACTGTTAAAACTTTATAGCCTGGTTGATACGATCCATTGAGATGATTTACTAACCGGTGTTTACTGCAGAACTGTTGCATCACGCACCTCATTTTGTCCAAAAAGGTCACCACACCGACTAAATTACACATTACGCCTAAGGGGAATAATCATCAGTCAAACTCTGGCTCAGACATGTAAAGCTTAACGTCTTGTTTACTCAAATGCAACTCAAAGAACCTTACATAGCTAATATGTATTAATTTGTGTTGTTCCGTCTCATAGGCTTCAAATCCACAGTCTTATACAAGAATCACTCTGTTGACAAGGAATGACATTATGAGGAAGAAGTTTATTGAGGAGCGATACAGACACAGAAAATTAACAACTTGTGCATTTCCAAACTGAACAACACGTTCTCTGCTAAACAATTTTAGCCAATTTCACATCAACTGGAATCTTTAGCTTCATTTCTTTTTTTTCACTTCATGATTCTCCTTCTGTGTTTAACTTTGGCAATAAAGAATTATAATCCATGCCATTAAGGCAGTCTAAATTAGAGAGAGGAGAGAATATAGTGAATACAGACAAAGAGAACGATTAAAGCGCTAGGATTCTTGACGAGGTCTGTAGAGTCCACTGGTACACTATGTCCTTATCATTACCTATATACATCAGAATACAGCTTAGGCTTACATACACAATAACAAAGTGACAGAGAAGCACTTGAACACTGACGATTCGACCTTAAGCTCTGATACAAATGCTGACGGAGCGGGGTCTGGGTTTTGAGCGGAAACAAAGAGTGGGCTGAAACAGGAGGGCAAGTTTGTGATGGGTATAAACGTTTGGATCAGACCTGAGAAAAAAGGCTAACTGAAGGGAACCCAACGACATCCAGAACAGACTCTAATCCTCCTCCTGTAATCCTGTATGGATCCACTCTGAAAACAGCTGGGTAATTTCTTAAGCAGAAATGTTGTGTTCAAGACATAGAAACTAGGTAGTTTTAACCAAACACTGGGCCTAGCATCAAGACCAGGTTTGTTGGGTTAAGCTAGCAGGAGCCTCATCACTCTTCACAGACCGCCATTTTGAGCTAAACAGCAGTCTGACCATATTTAATAACAAAATAAATGGTAATGTTATGCTGCATTATAATCTTAATGTCACTCTATTGAGTTAATGACTTTAATTGACCCACAACAAGCTCATTAGTGTTTTAGCTGCTAAGAAGTTAGCGCCATCTACTGTTAGCTACTTTTAACAATACAGCCAACGTAGACGGGCTAGAAAGCTGCATTTATTTCTACTTTACCTATTCTTTCAATTATATTTCATAATATTTCACTTCAGCATTTAAGATCAGTCAGAATTTAAAGTAAAAATGAAAAAATATTATTTTATTCATTTTAATAAAAAATACTACTTGTTTAGTTATCCAGGTGTTGGAGCGATTTATTCTTTATCTTTATTAATTTACACAAATTACTAGTATTTCACAATGCAGATTAATTGCACTACCTATTTAGACCTAGACGCCTCTCTCCTTTGGAAACTTACCTAGTTGACAGCGGCGCGGTCTTGTGCAGTGGTCAACAAAGAGACGCAACCGCGAGTTAAAAGGTGAAAACAGTACGATGGAGTTTTGGATTGAACTACTTATTGCAAAGATTTGTTATCTTTCCACCGAAGCACAACCAGTTCATAGCTAACTTTTTAAAATTAACTTTGAAACAAAATCCTGAATATGAAAACCTGGAAAACTGAAACGTTTTGGTTTCAGACAACAATAGATTTTCTTTAACATTTTTATGATGACGTGGATTTTTACATTTCAATCGTGATTAGTCAAAGTGCTAGAGTACAATTAATTTAATTTAAAAGAAATTAATTGATTGACAGCACTACTTTTAACATATTTTGGGTAAAATTAACGCTGGTGCTAACCCATAACCAAACATCTTGCGCTAAATCAATTCATTGACGCAGGACTCCGTTAACAACCTAAATTGGGTCTATTTAAACCCAGCAGTTTAAAGAGTGTAGATGAATGGAGCATCGAATAAGTTGTTCTGCCTTTGCTTTGTTTTGTTGTTGTTGTTTAATTGTTATTTTTAACCAAAGCTTCAGTTCCAGTCAGCATCTGAATGGGAGCTTGAGGCCCTTCGGTTCGGGGGTCACAATCTGACCATGGATACAGCACAGGTGGACACCTATGACGAGGTTAAACGTGTTGTCGAGGCTGTTTTTCCATATAGAGAATATCGAAGGTGCTCCTCAGCCTTGCTTCGTGTGTATGGCTGCTACTACAACACAGGAACAACTCACAAAAGTCAAACACTGAATGTTCCCCCCGCAGGGTTTTTTCTTTTGTTTTTTATATGATTCATCATTAACAGCTTTGACAGTGAAAACAAACAGAACTGAAACCCCAACAAACGTGCAGAGACGGCACATGCACACGTGTCCTCACACACACACACACACACACACACATTCACATGTACAATGTATTATTCACACAGAAAGAAACAAACAAAAAAAACACGCTTATACGCACTTATACTAAGATACAACTTCTGTTCCTAAGAGAACATCAACACTCAGCAGGGGAGAGGGGGACGTGGGCATTATACAATAAATTAATACAATACTAAATCAAACTCAGCCTACATATAGGCAAATTAATCCCTCCCCCAAAAACACACACACACAAAAACACACGCACACACACACACACGCATACACTCCCATGCAATAAAAGCAGCTTATGTGGCATGCTGCGTTTTGGAATGAGTAGGGCAGTATGACTGCTGAGCCTATTTTTTATTTGTTTTTTATTTGTGTTTTTTATTTGTTTTGTTTTTTGTTTTTTTATGTAGAAGCAGTGACTGGGTGTGCTGGTTGAACTGCAGGGGTTGTAGGTAGAAGAGGGGTAGGGAGGGTGGGGGTATCAGGGTAGTAGACCTGCTAAGCGAACCTGGATCACAGGCGAGCAACAAGCGCACATACACATACACCACAATACGAGTACCGTACTGAACATAAATATATGGACTTCTTCACCTGGCGGGAAACTGAGGTTGAAGGGGTCAAAGACTTTGGCGGGCGTCTTCACCAAGGAGAGACGAGGACAGCAGAGCCATGGCTAAGAGAGAGAGGTGGGAGACAGGAGGGGAGTGGACGAGGGCAAGTCATCCCGGTTGGGTGATTATGGCGGGGCTTGTCTTGTAGGAGACGGTGGTGGTCGCCGGCTGGAGAGCGGTGATGCGTCAAAGAGCAGAGGAAGAGGAACAGATTCATTTGATAAGAAAATAGATGTATATGGTACTTTTTTCCCCCCACAATAAGGCAAGTATTACATTGTATCTAACAAGTGTTGCTGCCAAACCACAATCAACGTCAGTGAAATTTGGGCGTCATATACAGAAATGAGCAGGCCCATCACGATAACAAATTTTGCTGGATGATAAATTGTTCTAGAAGTTATCGCGATGAATGATAATATTGTTGTCTTGAGACCGTTTTCAAGTAAATTCAAGTAATTCTAACGAACATTTAACACTGGAGCTGGAAGACGTTTTTAAATATCCAAACACAATGAAATAAAATGAATTATTAAGTCACTGTAAGGAAAACTGTCCTTCAAAAAAAGGTCTAGTTGAGACCAATGAACCCGACTTAAGACTTTTATCATCCAATTTGTGGTAGACAGAAAAGAGGAAAACAATAAATCCAGCAGATGGAAATTATTGAGCTTGTTTTAATTTAACACGAGACAGGTGTAGGAATGAGCTTCACTTTAAAAGCTTAACCTGCCTTCATCTCTTTACAGATGACAACGTTTATACTGAAGCTAGCCTGTTAGCAATTAACAATCACCATGAAAGCTCACAGTATTTCCACTATATGTATTGGTTAACTGATTTTCACTCTTCAGAGTCTCTTAATCCAACCCCGGCCACTCAAACACTATTAGTCCGAAAGAATGACATAAAAAGATTAGAAGATGTGTGAATGCAAAGCTTCCTCGTTACCATAGAAACTGCTGGGCACTCCAGCTTGCCTCCACAGCAAAGAGCGTAGGTGGAGAATGAGAAACATTGCTCAGAAGTCGCTGTCAAGATTACAATGAGCAGCATGTGCAAGAATAAATTATAAAACTGTGAAGTGGCTGCCTCTGCCTCTGCATATAAAGCTGTCCTTTTACTTAAAGGTCGGTGGTCGTCTTTGGAAAACTACTGGTGTAGTAAATGTGTTTCACTTCCATAAGTCATCGTCACTGATGCATAGTAGCTCAATATGTAGGACAACCCATCCTGTAGTTGTGAAACAGTAACTAATACATTATGTCTGCACACATTAATGTGCTGCTGACTATATGCTGATGACTATAGGATTGATCAGCCTCACACTGAGGAAGAGTGATTCAGGCAGAGTGACACATGCTTAGAGCAAGCTTCATGCCAACGTGAATCTTTAGATGTGTTAACTTTGAACAGAAAGAGTATGCACTATAAAAATGTAAAGGCTTATTAAAATAATGCCACTGGATGAGCAGCCAGGGCCACACTTCAGAAAAGGCTTACTGAGGCGGTAGCCCAGGGCCCCAATTTTTTCGGGGGCACCAAAGATTTTTCTTTTCTTTCTTTTTTTGAAGGAATGGAGGTTTTGCGATGTTGTACTTCATATAAGGTGTGTTGTATTCATATTTTGGGATTTCTATTAATTTAAACAATATTCAAATATTTGAATATTATGAAGTTGAAGTCGATTTTTTGGGAACAACGTGGAGCTGTTGGCCAGGTGACGTATTAAACCTACCATGCATCAGTTCATGGCCGCTCATCCATAAAACAATATATTAATGTACTGTAATTTGCATTAGAAAAATAATTTTCCCTTAGTGGACAAGGCACCAAACCTGTCTCCAGCCCAGGACTCACATCCTTGTAAAGCCACCCTTGATTATAGTCAATGTGTAAAGGGATAGTTCATGATTATTTTGAAGAAATGAAGACACCAAGAGTGTTATCTATTTTACTGCAGGTTAGATATTACTTGTTGGTCATCCTTAAGCAAAATCTTACCTAAAACACTCTAAACTAATCCTTTGAAGCTCCTCCTTTTCACATTAAACCTGATGTAATGTTGTGAATAAACTGTTTATGTGCTCAGCTAGTTTCCAAAGCTTGTGGTTTGCTAATTTGGCTATAGCTTGTAAATTTGCAAGGTACATCTACTTTGGTTCAGTAATTTTTTAAAAATTGCATTTTTGTACATTCTGCAATATACTTTCCTCATTAGGCTTTAAAATACATTTTACCTTCAGTGACTTGGTAATTCTTTAGAAACAAAATAAAATCTTTTGAATTAAATATCACACAGCACTAAAGGTGATGACTGTATTTACCTGGGGATGTTAGGGGGGGCCCTGTTGGGGCGGCTGGGTGCCTGGGGGCTATCAGCACTGTTATTGAAGGGTCCCAAAGGTCCTGGACGGTTTGGTGGTGGTGGGGCCCCTCTGGGCGCCGGCCGCTGGCCCGAAGACATCCTTCTGGGGGCCGTGGGACTTGGAGGAGGAGACCTGGCCAGCAGACGGATGTGATAAAAAGAAAAAAACAGCAAAAGTCAAGGCTTCCTGACCTTGATTTGGGTTCATTTTCAACTTACCTGCGACCGCCGGTGGATCCTCCTACCCAGGAGCTGTCAACAGGCGGAGGCATGGGGGTTGTGATGGTGGATGTAGAGATGTCACCTATGATGGCCAGGGCCTCCTTCAGGGCCTGGTGGGTCCTCAGCACCTCGTCCCTCCTCTGGGCCTGCTCCTGGGACTCATCCATCAGAGCATTCTGGTCACCTGCAGAGTACAGGCACGCCAGCAGCTCCGCATTGATGAAGTCCTTCACCTTTTGACAAGACCAAACAGTAAAGCAGAAAGAGTTAGAGCAGTAAAACTTTAAGTTAAGTACCAGTGTCTCTGTCTTTAACTTTACCATGTATAAGCTTGATAAGGGCATTTCTAAATTATCTGTATTGAGAGTTTCTGACAAAACTCAATTTCCAATACTTGTTGTTGGTACAGTCTGTAATTATGTCAGCCACAACTGCAGCTTGGCACAGCTTGAGCACTAGTCATTAAGTTTTACAACTGTAAAGACAAACTGCTAGGTTTCTGAAGTAGGAGCACGACGTTATTTTGTGAGTTTTGTCTGCAAAGGATTAAAATACAGCTGAGCTGAAAACGGTTTCGAGATGAAGCAGGAACAAATCGGAAAGCAAAATGGAAACACTATCTACCTTAAGCTTGCCACGTAAGCGCAAATGCTAAAATTAAAATGAACTACACTGTTCTTTTTTATGAACAAGTTCAATGCTGTGGGCAGCAGTTATCTGGATATGAACAGGATTTTCTAAAATTTAAGAAAACAGCATTTAAGTTGCTAATTAGCTTAAATGAAACGGTTATGCTGTGCTGCTACATTCTCTGAAGCCTAACCATGTTAATTCACCAACACATGAAGAAAGAAAACCTAGTCAGCTGTCCTGCTGCCACCTAAAAACATCTGTTCTTTATGTTTCAAATGATAATTTTTTCAAATTTCTATTTAGGAAAGCAGCTAACAAGAACACACGTTAGTTCAGGCCAATATGTACTAATGCTGTAAGCAGTATATGTCTGGATATAAACAGTACTTCCTAATAAAAATGTTGGACAGTTCTCACAAATTTAAGAAAATATTCTACCTGGAAGTTGATAATTAGCATGAATTAGCTCCAAAGTGTTCGGCTACATTCTCTTCTATTTAAACACATAAATAAGGAAGTCTTGTCAGATATTCTGCTGCCACCTAAAACCGTCTGCTCTTTATGTTTCAAAAAATAATGGGTTGTAAAAGAGCAAAAGGAATGGTATCAAATCTACCTTTTGATATATTGTTTCAAAATGTTGTTTTTAACTTTGAAATAAAAGCAAAAACATCAGAAACGATTTTCCTCTGGACTTACTAAAATGAATGGTAACGTAATCATGCTACTTATTTTTCTTGCATTTCACCATTAGACGTCGGCTCTGCTGGAGATTTGTGTTCATAGATGTTTTGTTTTTCACTTACATTGTTGATCATCAGATGCATGATGGTCTTTGGGATGAGATCCCGGATGCACTTGTTGACGATAGCCATGTAGGAATCCACCAGGTTGCGGATGGTTTCCACTTTGCGCTCCAGCTGAGGGTCCATGGAGAAGTTGTCGGTGGTGGTGGTCGTCTCGCTCTCAACCTGCAGGGGGAGAAAAAGTTCGCCCCTTTATTTTGAAGGAAAATTATTCCACAAAGGGTTAAAAGTAAAAAAAAACTGACATGTTTTGACAAAACTAAAGTTTTTACCACTCCCACACACACCAGCACACGTAAAAATAAGTCTTATACATTCCTGCTGTTAATGTAAGGCAATAAAACTCCTGCAGTTCATCTTTTATGAGGTTTAGTTTTTGTGATCTTTAAATCACTAAGAATTAAACTGTACTATATAAACACTGTATGATTTAATCATTATTTATTTTAAAACCAGCAGTCGAACAGGCACATTCAGACAGTTTGTTAAAGATTGTAGGCCATTTCACATCATCAGCTGTACTTATGCTACACGACACGAAATGCACACATTTTCACCGGTAGCCAAAACTGCAGCTTCTGGGGTGGTACGATATGAGGAATCTATGAATGTGTATTTAAGTTATCTGGGTACTTTTGTCATTTTCCTTCTACAGAGGAGAATGAAAATTTGTCAGAACTGGAGTACAGTCTTTTAAATCAGACATTACAAGCCATCAACATTCAGTATTTCTGTCTAATGATCTATAAATGTTGTTTCTGTCTGGTTTGTGTGAATCAAAAAAGCTGAAAAGCGAATCCTGACTTTCACATTTACATACCTAGCCCATGGTGTTAATCTTGCTCTGCCCAGTGCCATATGTGCATGAAAACGAAAATGTTTTCGTATTTTGTCAAATTACAACCGTAAACTTAGATGTATGTAATAGATATGCTAGAGATCGACATGATTTATTACAATGGCAATGCTAATAAAAAACTCAAAAATAAAATTAGGAGAATAAAGTCATAATATTACAAGCATAACTATGTATGCGAATAAAGTATTATTACGTGAACAAAGTCCATAAAATTATGAGAATAAAATTATAAGAAAATAAAGTTGAAAAAAAAAACAGAATAAAGGCATAATATTTTGAGAGTAAAGTCATACAATTACGAGAATAGTCGTATGAGAATAAAATGGAAAAAATATGAGAATAATGTCACAATATTAGGAAAATAAAGTCATAATATTACAAGAACAAAGTCATAAAACTATGATAATAAAGTCACAGCAATACTAGATTAAAGTCGTGCAAGAATAAAGTTGTAATAATGTGACAACAAAGTCATAATATTTCAAGAATAAACTAGTAATATGACTTTATTTTCATTATTTCAACTTTATTCTTATACGACTTTATTCTCATAATTTGATTACTTTATTCTGGGTATTTTAATTTTTTTAAATTTTCTTAGTGTGTCCCTGATACTCCGTCGTAATTTATTTGCTCCTGACTTGATATCAAAAGTCTGTAGTTTACAGACTTTTGGCGTGAAACATTGCCTAAAAACCCAGGCATGAGATCAGTGATGACGTTAGGATCCGATTAAGCAGCCGCTCTCATTTTGAGTCATTCTCACTGAATCGTGTTGGAGTGGATCCTCTCACCGTGGTGGTCTTGTCAGGGTAGACCCCGGCACGGAGGAGGGACGACTTCCAGCTGTCCACGTCATCCTGGGAGTCACAGGCCAACTCCAGAGTGCGATTGTCCTTGTAGACGTTCCTAAACAAAATCATTTGCTTAGAATGTCAAGTGTGTGTCAGACGATTGCCTCTTCCGTGTGGAACAGTTTCCTGTTGGGTGCCGAGCCAGCATGTCCAAGAGGAAACTTTCACAGGACATGCTGTAACAATTAGTGAAAGTTCAGGCATGAGACAAAACCTTTTTATGCCGATTTAGACTTTTTACAGACCATCTGTTTGTTTATCTGCTTGATTACTACGAGTCCCTAATAAAAACTTTCTACAATTCCCCGTTTAATCAAATCGGGTTTGTTGAAAAAGCTACAACTAGAGACGTCCCGGTCAAATCCCAGGTGCGTTTTTAAAGTCAAGGCGTTTTTAAGCGATACGTCCCGAAGCGCCAAGCGAAACTCAATTCCTGCTACCTGTTGTTGATCTACAGTCTGTGCCTCTGTCAGCTGCATGTCGCCCCCAAATTTTTTTTTTCTCTAAATCCCAGTTCATGTCCCCATTGTCAAATCAAATCTGTGTTATTTTGTTGCTATGCTATCAAGGTTTGATGTTGCAACTCTTTGAAATGATGCTGGACGTAAAAGAGGGATTGCAGTGGTTGTGTGTCTTTTTAACATGACCTGCTCTGCATGATGTGCTCTGATCCTGTTCTGGGAGAGTTGCTCAGAAAGCAGCTGAAACATTACTCCATGAATTTTAAGACATTCAAATCAAAGTGCTAAGTTTATGACTAACTAGCAACTTTTTATTAAAATTTGTTTTCTCTCCATGATTAACTGGAACTGCATCAAATTAAAGAGCAAAATTACCTGGTATGAAAACAGGAAATTAAATATGCTAACATCATCAATAAATTAGTTGGTACCATATTGGCGGTACGTGTCCAGTCTGGCACATCTTTAGAAACGGATGATATATCTATGTGCATTTTCAGTGACCCGCTGAGTTAACAATTGTTGGAGCATATTGAGGATGACCTGCAGAAACTCCACTTAACACTGAATATTTACGATATTATCAAGAAATGTGGATAAAAGAAGCTGGCGAATCAATGGACCATGAGACAGTTCGTCAAATCTTACCTGTAATGGTGAACCCTGATAGGGTCCATTTCAGAGTTGGGTAATAACCGCTTATCCCTTGTGCATGCGAGGACTGGGGCAAACATGGAGGATTGTGGCAAATGATACAAGTTTTACGTGTGTGGGGTCGGTTGGACCCCATTTGTAAACACAAAGGTTAAATTCACTCAACTTTTGGAAAAAAAAAAAAGAATAAACTTTTAGGAGTGCTCTGTATCTTTATTTCTACTTGAATGACTTTATTATGAAGTATCGCAACTCTTCCTTGAGTAAAATTTCTGAATGCCAAAAATTCACCAGACACAGACGCACGCAGCTGTAGTTTTTGTTAAAAGTTTGGTAAGCTTTTCATCGAAAGAAATTAATTTTTACATTATTTTGTAATTACATTATTTATAAGAATTATTTTCATTTTGACCTTGAAAATGCCAATGATTTCCGCATAACTTTATATTTTGGTCCCTCTGATGTAATCTTTAAATATTAAACGATTTATCTTTTGAAGAGTAACTCAGTTGCCTTTTTACCAAACACTTTTTCACTCTTATCTCAGCTATTTCTTTGACATTTCATTTAAATTTGAGTAAAAATATGTTGAAGTAGTGCTACTCTTCCTTGAGTACAATTTTTGTGTACCCAGCACACCTCTGGTTGTTCCTATCTAAAACATATTTCCCCTCCTTAGTCCTAGTTTTTAATTTAATATCGTCTGCATAGATTAATCTCCAAGCCAAAGTCATGAGCAGCAGACCTGGATTCTGTGTTGAAGATGGAGAATATGTGTTTGCTGGACATGAAACTTTTCTCCACATCGCGGACCTTCAGGTTGTCCAGGGGGAGCATGTACTTCTTCTCCTTCTCCTGGTGGAGGGGAAAGAGGAAAACAGTGATGAGCTTGCACACACAAAAAAGAAAAGCTAAATGAGTTATTATGTTTTTGGCATGTTCAGCATCTGTCAGGCAGGCAACCAACTGCAATGGGTGAGAAAAAGGTGAATGCAAGAAAGAGAGAGAAGTGGGGAAGGCAGAAAGAGAGAGGAGGTGATGTTAAAGGGAGGAGGAATGGGGGAGAAATGAGAGTGGGAGGTAAAGGCAGGAGCAGAGAAAGGGAGAAAAAAAGGGAGAATGAGCACATGTGGAAGTCATTAGGGTTTGGGTCAGGATGCAGTCGTTCTTCACGGTGCGTTTTTACGCAGAGAAGCGCTGGCAGAGAACCCTGAGGAGAGTCTGGTCGAGGTTAAGGGCGGTGCGGGGTGGAGGGGGCAGGTCGCTGATAGGTAAAAGCCCCGGCTCAAACTCAAACTCGGGGTGTCGAATCCACTGAGAACCCCGGGCTCAAACAGATAAAGAGCGGAGATCCTTACCGTTAACTTTACACTTCAGTCCCAGCCTACGCGTCTTAACTCGGCCTGTCTGTTTTCTTTTATCTCAGCCACTCAATATTTTCTCTATATTTTCTCTTTCCATTCCAGAGGGGCCCACTTCCTGCCTGATTTTTTTTTCTTTTGGCTTTTTTTTTTTGTTTGAGGGAGGGAGAGAGAGAGCGAGAGAGATTAAATGACAGCCTGGCGTTAAAACTCAACATCTGGTAGTGCTTAGCACACAGAGATGCAGGGAAAGGAGGGAGAAGTTAAAGAGACGGCGGGGTGAAGGAGAAGGATAAGAAGCCAAAAAGGAGAAGAAGAAAAAGAAGAAGAAGAAGAAAGTTGATTCAGATAAAGATTCACAGAAGACACCCCTTCGGTTTGGAAAGTTGTGGTTGACACAGGTAAGACTTGGCGGGCATGGAGGAAGAACTCTGCGGAGACTCTAGGGTTGGATTCCCCAAGGGGTCACCGTCGCCCTTATATGGTCAACCGGGACCCCTCCTTTTTCCTCTCCCTCCCTTACCCCCTCCCCTCTCTCGTGAGCGTCTCTCTTTCCCTCTTTTTTGTAATATCCCCTCCCAGAATGCGCAACCAGTGTGTCCCAGTCGTCTGAGCGAATGTGCCACGTCAAGGCTGGATACTCTTCACGGCCGGCGTGACCTGAAATCTGGACCGGTCCGGGACGCCCGACCTAAACAAATAAACAGGAGGGGGAGGGGGCTGGTGTGGGGCACTTCCAGAAAACCCCCACACCCCTCCGACACGGATGAGGCATACCGCTGCGTTTCGAATGGGGGGGAAGAGATCTTTTTGCTGCAGGAGCGGCGAGAGGGGAAGGGGCACCGACAGCAGAGCTGTCCCACCAGCATCGGGATCAGCGGCGCACAAGGCCTGGCTCTCCACTCCGGCTCCGTCCACCCAGTGTTCAGACTACCTGTTCATTGTCATACTGGTGTACAGTAGTCTGCACATTGGTTAGACTGGGCACGGACCCTCTTCTGTCCGTCTGTCTTTCTGTGTGTCTCATCCTTCCTCACCATACGTCCGAGGTCTCCACCTCGTTCTTTTCTAGACTTTGTCCAAAAGAGCGCTCTCAACGCTTGGCTTGCTTTCCCCGCTCGCTTGCTGGTTTGTGGAATAAACTTGTGTCACCAGTTTCCTCACCACTAACTTTCAGCTCTGGCTACGAGTGCTTGAAGGCATACCTTGGTTTCAAATCAATGCTTGTTGAGCATTAAAAGAAAAGCAAGTTCACATAAATCACTGCATGAATGAGCGAGCATGCAGGCTGCTGAGGAAGATGCGGTCACTCTGGAAAGGGAGGGGAGTGAGGGGGGATAAGGAGCGAATACGGCTGCAAAGCATTGAGCCAAAAGGGCTACGGACCAATCAATCAATTGGGGTTTGAGGGTACATTGAGACACCCCAAGCGAAGGCATTTCTGTGGGTGGCCTAAGCAAGCAGAGAGCATTGATGTATGATGGGTAGTAACAAATGCAGAAAAACGCAGAAAAAAAAGACTGCAAAAACCAGAAACACACACACAAAGCAGTAAATCTAACTAATCAGATTTTCAGCTGAGACCTTGCACTGTTCCCGCAAAGTCACAAGTAGCACATAAAGTGAAGACGATCAAAGCAGCGCCTCTGCTCATTGAAGAGTTGGAGGACGGCGGAGTGAAGGGTATTGATATCTAATAGGTCTTCTCTTCTGCAAAGAAAAGGCCAGATGATGATGTTTGGATTGAAAGTGTTCCTGCCAAGAATGCAAGAAGTTCCAAAGGAACTGCCAGCCGCATTAATACAAGGGAGGAGGCAGACGTGTACACGACCGTAGAAAAGTTCAAGAGGGTGTAAAACAGAAATACACAAGGAGAAGCTAGCGGAGTCTGTAATTACCAGCATTGCCGCGTTAGCGTCTCGGATGGCCCCTGCGCGCGCCGCGCCGTCTGAGGTTCCAAACGGGCGGCCGCGTATTTTTGGGTGGCTGAGAGAGCAAGCATTTGGTTGGGATTGGGGCTGCTCCAATTTTAGTGAAGAAGAAGAAGTGAATGGCTGAAGTATCAGTGGATGGAGGTGGGAAGTGAAGGAACACAGAATAGAAGGTGCATGGAAAGCACAAGTGAGGATGTGTTGGAGAAAAAAACAAAAATATTTTATTTGATCATCAAAACCTGCAGACACAGTTTTTTTTGTTCAAGAACTCATTCCAGAGGACATTTTCCTGAAAACTCTTGATGGGAAGCAACTCAATTGGGCCTCCTGGGCAACATTGCCGCATCAGAAAGGGCTGGCTGGAGGAGCTGCTGTGTGTCTGCCTATCTACACTTGCTGTGCAGAATGTCCTCCAACCTGTACAGCAGGCACAGACAGGCAGAGAGACGCCAGCCTGCCACGCAAAGGCCGGCATGTGACCAAATGCTGCATCCTGTTGATGCTGGCCTGTGGATGCAAATGATGGTGGGCTATAGCTGCTAAAGACATTTGCTGTCGTTGGTCATTCTTAAAATAAAAAAATACTGCTTTGAAGCAGTCATTTACCCACTATTTTGATGGTTTGAGTAGGTTTTTGTTTATTATTACTTCCTTAACTTAAAAGTGCAGCACAATAGCTTTTAAAGAGTCCTTCCTGTGCCTAACTCTGGTGCTTTTCAGCTGGAAATCTGATTAGGAGCAGGAATGGACAATATAGCTGAAAAACGTATCACGATATATGATTTTCATATTCGGTTGATATTAAGAATTATGATTAATTTTTTGTTTTAAATATCTGAAGTCCTGCCAAACTGGTGGTGTGACTTTTCCCGTTTTATTCATAGTTTTCACGCCATGCAGTTGTTTTTCATTTTGAAAAGCATGGTGGCGAAACTTGAAACTGCTGCTGTGCAAAAATACTCAGAAAGTTGTTGCTAGGTAACCAAAGACTGAGTGAATTGATGCCGCCCATTTTGCTTAGCTGGCCATGGGAGGTCAAGCAGCTAAAGCGAAACTATTGCTATATGTACTGTTATTGATTTATTGTCAAGGAGTCTTCGAGGATTTCAAGCTGTTGAAATGGGCCATTAAAGGGAAGGTTCAGAAATTTTAAAGTGAGGTTTTGTTAAAAGATTAGCTACAATCTTACCTGCAGAAGAAAACTTCATGTCCTCATAAATCCAGACTAAGGCTGAAGCTAATAGCTAGTCTGAGACAGACCAAGAGCTAAGGAGATTTCTGACATTTTAAAACTATTCTACTCTCCAAATCTCATGGCGGTTTATGTGAATTGTATCAGCTGTTTGCATTTATTGGTTATTTACGCAGCAGGAGATTAATGTCTATGGAAATGAAGGGAGAAAGCAGTGCACCAGTAATGATCTTCCTGCGTAAAAGATGTACTGAGTGCATTAAAAAAATCTATAAAATTGTTTTTTGTAAACCAAAATTACTACAATATTTTTTCTTTTAAAGGTGCTTTTACTTTCACATCAGGTAATTAACTAAAATGGAAACACTTCCCATGTTCTTTTCTCAGTTTGTGTTTCACACAGGAAGATCTTTGTTGTTGCACCTCCTCCAAACTCCATTTCCTCTGAAAATAATCTTCAGCTTCAGTGTAAATATCCATCCATCCATTGTCTTTCCCCACTTATCCTTGTAGGGTTTCCAGTGATCTCTGGTCATCAGGCGGAGTACTCCCTACACGACAAGCAGGACAGACAACCATGTCTGTCCTGCTTGTCCAATCTTAGTCATAAACTAAGATTGGATTTTTTCAAAATCTGATTTAAGTCTTTGGTTCATTAGACTTAGCCTCACTTTATTGTCGTTGCACAAAGACAACACTGAATTTGGCAACAAAATGTCGTTGCAGCAGTTTACAGAAAAATACTGAAAAACAACAATTGTGACTATAAACACATATAGATATAAAAGTGCTACTGGTGCACATAAGAAAAAAAATCTAAGTATAACTTAGCATTTTCAGAGACATTAGCTTCATCCTGTGAACTCATCTAGCTTTGTACTGAATGAATAATACATTTTTTCGTTTAATGATTTTGTTTGATGTGCCTGTGTGTTCTGTTCTGCAATTTTGCTTAATTCCTGTAAAGCGTCCGAGGTATTTTTAAAAAAGTGCTACACAAATAAAACATTTTATTTAAAGGCGCCTTCCTTGGCACGTAAAGTCACTGACCAATATACAAATGAAGAACCAATGAGAGTTATCTACTGCAAATAAGACATCAACTGCTTATGCCTTTCAGCAGAGCCTCATTCTTACCCCTTTCCACAGTTACCCACATGTAACAGACTAATATTGTTGTGTAATAAAACTGAAGGTAGCTGAATTATGCTCACCTCATCATCCTTGAACCAGGAGAGACTCTCGGCAGTGAGCACAAACCAGTACTCTTTGGCTCCTCCCTTAATGATGCTGATGTTGTTGATGGTCAGCCAGCCTTTACGGATGACCTGCGGGGAGAGGGCACAGCCAAGGTGTGAGCGGTAAAAAGATCCTCACCGTAGAAGCTTTATGTTAGTCGGAAACATTAAACTGGTTACCCTTTGATCATGTAATCTGAGCAAAGGCGGCGAGACAAAACGTGTGCGAAGGTTAACCGAGGTGTGTGACTGTGACTCACTCAGTGCAGCTGCGCTCACAGCTAGACGCTGGTTAGAGGCTTTATCTTCTACCAGAGATAAAGCGTGTGTGTGTGTGTGTGTCATCAGTGTTGAGTGTATTAACCCTGACACAAACAGTACCATACAGGTCCGGTGCCAAGGGATTACTGGGTTAGATTACTGTCAGGCTTGCACTCCCTAAGACTGACTAAAGAGGTTACCCACATCTTTATAAAATCTCTTTCTCGTGGCTCCAAATGCTGAAGATAAATGGGAAGAGATGAAAATAGAGGTGGAACTGGTGTTAGGAGAGAAAAAAAAGTAAGCAAAACTAGAGCAGCAACTTTTTTTAGTAAAGAAAATGTTTCAGCCCCACACCGGTCAGTTAGCATCTCTGTGGCGCGTTACGGAGGAAAATGGCAGCGGTGCTGGAGAGCACCACACGCTGGCGAGAAGCAGAACTGCAGCAGGTACAGACGACATTGCAAACCACGACCCACAGATGAGCGATACTCACCGACAGACGCCCTCGAGAGGGCAGCTGAGATTCTCACTAAGGGGTGGGGATGAAATGCAAGGTGGCACCTTTATGACACAGGAAGGGTTCAAACAAAGGGAAACGTCTCAACAACACCAGGCATGATGGTGGGGAAAAACTGATACTAAACAAAGAAACAAAAAAGCTTTTTTCAATAGAGATGCGCCGATCACAGAATCCACTTGGATTTATTTTTAAAAGCTCTGATCTCTGATCGGTTATGATTATAGTTAATTTCTTTCAAGAACTAACTTTTTTGAAAATATATTTTGTGGATAAATTGAACTGATAAAACAATGGAATGTTAGAATAAAACAATTATTTTTCCAAATGTACGTTGCTGTCCTTCTGTATCATAGAAAATGCACAAATACAGTTAAATCCTCCAGGTTGTGTTAAAATCATTTAAAAATATACTAACTGTGTCCCACAAAATATGGGAGTGAAAAAAAGTGTTTAATAATTTCATTCATTATAACTGGGGCTGTTTGAGGCCTTTGACCAACATTTAGCTACATCAGCAGAGAGAGGAAGAGAGAGCAGTATGCATTACACAGCTCTACAGTTCAACAAGAATCCACTATTGTTTTAAAGCCCAGATAAAATGATTAAAATCATAAACTGATTTCTTGGTGCATCGCTACTGTTCAAAACTTGGTGACTAACTGAAACATTAAAGTATGGAAGCTGAGAATGAACCTTTCTCGCTTACACTTTTTCCCGGTGGTTTTCTTGAGATAATACATTCATTTTCCAACAATTTTGTAGAGATAATTAATTAATATCTCAACGATTTTCTTAAGATGGAGAAATCTCTCTTGAGAAAACCACAGGGAAACAAAATGTGTGAGAAACATCCACTCTCAGCTGTTAAATAAAAGCATGGGGGATAAATAATTACAAATATGAATGATATTTTATTGTAGAAACTATAGCAGTGAATTGAATAAATCATAAATTTCATCCAATGCAAATATTAACTTAAACGAAGAAGAGGGTTTTGTAAATGCGTTGAGCTCGGTGGTTTCCATTTCTCTGTGCCGTCTCTGATTCGTGTCGATGCGAACAGCAGTTTCGATCTCATGTGCCACCATTTGTATTTTGACAGGAAACGGAGAACAGGCTCACCTGATTTCCTGCTGAGCTCTGGCTCTTATTAGTCTGACTGCTCCTCTGCTGAGCACTGCGCCACGGTAATGGCAACATGGACGCAGAGACGGAACATCGGAAAAATAAGAAAAAAGTAGGTGGGAAAGAGTGACAGCAAACTTTGTTAAAAAGACAAAAAGTTAGCATGTTGAACTGAAGTGAGATGGTTTCATGTTCACCTAGCAAAGCCAATGAAATCCTCATGATTGGTGTTTATGTAGGAGAGCTGCAGATCAATCAGCAGCAGAACCTGAAAGGACACACAAGATATTTATTATGAGAAACGGCTGGAGGAAGATGGGAAGGGAGCGTAGAGTAGCACTGTGATTAAAAAAGGGTTCTGCAAGATTGCCTTATTGAAAGTCATTTTGCAAACTTTCTTGGTATCAAATGGGAAAAAAGACTGAAAACAATTCAGTCAGTTCTAATCAACAAAATTAGGATTTAAGTCACTATTTCTTGGAAAATGCTTGATGTATTTAGCCACATTTATTCAATTAACTAAAAGCAGATCTGGGTGCAGCAAAGTTTGATTTGAGTAAAAGTTACAGTCTTTGTATGATAATGTAAAAAATGTGTTTATTTAAAGACAAATAATTGATGTTGTCGTCAATACTTCTTATTGTGAGAAGATTTTACTTTGTCTGAAATAATTCTGTCCTAATTAAAAATAGAAAGGCTCCATGTAAGTCAAACACCTGAGCTGAAGGGACAAATTTGTATGGTTCTTGAACTAAAGTCAGAGGCCACAAATGGCCCCCGGGTCACACTTTGGACACCCCAGGTTTATATCAAAATCATTAAGTCTTTGAACACAACTAATTTTTTTAGCTAATATTGTGCTAAAATTTCAACTACAGTAATCATAAAAGCTTTTTAGAAGACAAAAATGTGTTTAAAATCAAATAAACACCTGAAATAATCCATACATTAGATCAGTTCTTTTCATTTAAAAATAGCAATAAAATACATTGTAATACATTTTTTTATTTTCTCTTAAATAACTCCAGGTTATTCTGTGAGACTTTTGTTCTGCTACATGCCTCCTCAAGACTTAAAACAGCAATACACACAGGGGATATGTTTCTGCTAAGCTAAGCTAACCTAAAATAACCTAACCTAAAACGTAATTGGTCAGATATTAACCTCTTGCTGTACCTTTGAGTGAGTTTTGTTTTTAAGAAGTAAAAGGAGAACTACAGATCTGAACTTCCTTATCATTTGTAATAGTAATTAGAACTAATCTGATAAGTATAGCCTGAACACAGAGCCATCTTTACCTGGTCCTTGGCACGACTCTCCCTGTCCCGGATGTGTGAGGTGACGATCCTCTCGGTTTCTTCGCGGAGCCTCGGGAAGCATTCCAGCTGGAAACAAAACATGCAGCATGTCAGCATCCACAGATAGGAAATGTCAAACGTTATTATGGAAGCTGGTATTTTCAGATGCTGCTTTATGATTAACTAAAGTGAGCATATCATAGCAGCTCCATAATCGCCATGAGTAGCGGGGAGGAGGATACCTTGTTGGAGCACTGGCGCACAGTGTTGATCAGCTCTTGGATGACCATGTCCACACATTTGATGGATGGCTCCTTCAGCTTCACAATCTGCTTCTTCACTATAGCCTCAAACGCCATATCAGGGGTGAAAAGCCCAGTTCTGGAGAAAGAAAAGAAATGATTTGACTGGTTGTTGTGCAGTTTAGCATTAGCGTATGAATTATGCCACACAGGGTAGGTAGAAGCTTTTACAGCAAAGGTTTTCAACATTTTGTGTTGCTAACAAGCAGAAGGTTGCTCTCCATCACTGATGGACATGCGGCACATTTGATACTATGGGAGATAATTCAAATAAATAAATAAAATACAGAAACCCCTACCTGATACCATGAATGTTCTTGATGGCGTAGCTGATCTCACGCCGCATCTCCTTGTCATCACACTCCATCTGAAGCAGAAAACAAGAGTTAAAAAAAACACACACTTCCTTTAAAATAGTTTACATGTTCAGCTAATGAAGAGATTATCTCAAAAACTGAAACACTTAAATATTTTATACTTAGCTACAGAATAGAGAACAATGTTTAACATTCGCCCTGTGGAACATCTTTTCTTAGGAAAAAAAAACTGTTTTCTAAAAACAAAAAACAGAGTTAGCCCTAGGAAATAAAACTGCAGCAAATCACACTAACTCGTCTATTTTTAAAGAAAGTGAATCTTTAGGGGCTCAAACTTTGGGATTATATGCAGTATCCGCAACGTTTCTTTGCCCTCTGGTAAAGATGTGTAAAAAGGCCTAAAATACAAATACATATTTTATTGCAGAGACATTATTTCAGAAATATATTTATTAGATTTGCAAAGAAAAATGAAACCGTAAATTATTTCTGAATCATTGAGTATTTTTTTAAGGAACATAATTTCAGATGTTTTAAATCTTACCTATAGTTTGAGTCATTTTATTCAGTGGGAGATAAATCCCATGTTAAGTATATTTATCAGTGGTGCTGCCCTCAACATTTTCAGGAGCTGGACGGATGGATCACTATTTGTCATGGAGACAAGATCTCATGGTTGTTATGGAGACTTGCCAAGATGCCAGTCTCTGTTGCAATCCCCTAATGGTGAGCTTTGTCATTTTTTCCCTCCTGTTTCCCAGTCTGCTCCCTGGCTGCATTCCCACTGAACATATAATTGCGCAAACTGGAATTCTGAAAATACATTTTTACTCAACAGAAAGATGCCAATTAAAAAAACAACAACAACAACAACAAAAAAAAAAAAATTTTTGATACAAAGTTTTTGCGGTAGGATGAGGTGGTTTTTCAGTTGTATCGAAATTAATATTTTTCTCAAAACTGCGACGAAAACACATTTTTTGTATCACACGAGTCAAGTGATCAGAAGTTTCTACTGGCGAAAGTGATGAAGGAAACGACAGGAAGTGGTAGGAGGATGTCGGCGGTGTGTTACTTAACGGGTTACTGCATGAACAAACTTATTCACGTGTGATTTTAATTGCGTTTCTTATTCATTGGAAACAGCAATCACAAAAATGTGTTTTTTCTACATTAGCAGAACATCGACAAAGTTTTGCAAACATTTGCAATTGAAACTCAGCTACTGCGCATGATGAAAAATTTAATAAGGATCGTCCAATTTTATTTCTTCAATACAGATCCTGTTTTATAACAGTGAGATCATACTGCTGCAATTAAAGTTTCATTTAGTGTATTTTAAAGCTTTTTGCCCACCTTTACCAGGGTTGCAAACAACTGTGTTTATCCTATTTTTTTCAGATTTAATACTCAGCAGTTCACCTTGACGAGTTCAAAAGGGAAGCGCTCATGAAAGATGCGATTGATTTTCGCTCCACCAGACAGCTCCACCGTGTCCACCTGATCCCCCGAGCCTTCAATCCTCTTCTCAAAATCAACAGAGAACTGTTGCACCATCCTGAAACGCAACAAATGTGCAAAAACATCCTGAAATGCAACAAATGTGCAAAAACGACAACAACAAAAAACAATAACAGCAACCATATATCAGCTAATTAAAGCAAGCTCTGATTTCTGGCAACTAAAAAAATGTGAACTAACAAAAGACAGCAAACAAAAAGAGGAGAGAAATTCCTTTCACATGGTCTTTAGTCAACAACGTCTCATGTTGCTTCGGCTGTGGGAAAAGAAGTGGTACTGACTGTAACAGCTGCTTGGTTTTGCGAGACGGGTCATCGGGCCGGTATCCCCGGTATTCCTCCGCCTCCTTGTCTAGAGCCAACAGCTGGGCCTGCAGCTTGCTGCGGAAAGCTGGCAGGGTGTCCCGAATGTGGTTGGTCAGTTGCTGAGGAGACGCAAATCCAACAAGACGCGAGTTAAAATCAAATACAGAATAAAATGAAATGTGTGTTTTGACTACCTGGAATCTTTTTTTTTTTTTTTTTTATCTTAATTGTATCGTATTACGTAATTCACTGTAATGAAATAAGATTCTGATATTCATCCACAAGCAATCCAGAGAAAATCTGGAATTCTGTGAAATCATTAATTATTTAGAGCTGGGCAGGATGGAAGGTGGTGAGTGATGGAAGCAAAAAGAACCCCCCCCCCCAAAAAAAAAAGTAGGCCACCCTCTTATTAATTATGTAAAGAGCACAGTGGGAGAGCATAGAGGGTAAATCTATCATCACCTGGTTGAGCACTTGCTGTAGGCGAGGGGTGCCCATTTTGTCGGCCATGTGCCTGTAACTGGGGTGGGACAGGAAGAACTTCCTCTCAGCTTCCAAAGCCGCCTTAATGTCCTTCTTGCCATCAATGTCCTTCTGACTGCGGTTCACCACACCAATGTACCCTGGAATAACACAGAGAGACGTGAGAGAAATATTCTAATGAATCCAGCCTGATAAATGAACTAAACAATGACAGTAGACAGTAGGGATGCACCAATCCACCTTTTCACTTCCGATGCCTATATCTGAGGTTTACTATCGGCTGAATTGACTTGAAATGTTTCTGTTTTTCAAAAGGGACTGAATTGCAAATTTATTTGATAACTGAACACACTTAAATACACCAGTATCTTCACAAGCTTCACAAACATTCATTTGTACAGTCAATGGAATTAGGAGTAGACCAATGTAAAATAAATAAGAAAAAACAGAAACTCACAAAAAATAAATAGCAGTAAACCTTCTTTCAAATGGTTCAGAAAATGCAATTTGGAATTGTAAATATAATGTAAAATAAATAATAAAGCGGGATGTCACTCAGACCACAAAGCGTAGAATTAGACTGAATAGATCTGAGCTTATGGATTGGGAACATTGCCACCGATATCCGATCTAGAATTTTTACCAATATTGTGACCAATACAGATATTAATATCAAATCAGTGCATCTGTAGTAGAAAATGTCTAATTCTGAATAAAAATAGGCACCTCTTCGTAGTGGCAGCAGTTTGTTCTCCAGAACGTCTCGGGCGTCTGTTCCCTCATCCATCAGATCCAGTTTGGTGATCACGCCAATGGTCCTTAAACCTTGATACAGCAAAAGGAGTGAAGCGAGGAAAAACATAAAGCATAATGCATACAGTACACTGAACATTTCTACATTTTACCGAATTCCAACTATAGACTCAATTTTGTTGAACTGGTATTTATTGTGACAGTCTCGCACAAAGTAGTGCATCATTTTGTCAAGGAAGCAAAAGGATATATGGATTTGTAAATGTTTTACAAACCACAAAAGTGTGGCTTGCATTGGTGTTCAGTCCCTTGATTCAGATATGCTGTAAAAACACAAAATCTTATCAAGTAATTTTGGTCTAGTTTTTAGTGCAATGTCAGTACACTTGAAATAATATAAAATTGGCTTACAAGTAACTTAAGTCAATAATTCCTCAATGTTGATGAAAAAGTAATAGTTTCTCTGACAAATTATTTCACTTCTAACATGGAAAAAATGTCTGGTTATGAGAGAAATGAGAAAAATAATCTACCAGTGGAACGGGAACTTTCAAAGTCTAGACCTAAAAAGAGTTGAAAATGTTAAGCAAGACTTGAAAACTAATCTTAAGAGTCATTTATTACATTTGACTAAACTTTAGCTGTTTTGCTAACAATAATGGGCAAAAAATTCAGTTTTTTAATGTGTTGATTCACGATCGTTGAGGCCGTTTAACAAAGTACTGACTCAGTCAGGCTGAATACAAAAGCAAGCCACACTTTCCAGATTTTATTTATGAACCATGTATTTTTTTCAACAATTTAATAATTTAAACTATCTTACTTAAAATCCAACATGTACTATATATTCTTAATTAATTCATAATGATTACTCTCTCTCCCACCCTTTTTTTTTTTTTAATAAAAACACAAAAAGTCAGGTGCCCCTGAAATAAATGTATTTTTGAGGCGAATGACCAGTACTCAGGTGTTATTGTTCTTGTTCCTGAGCTGATTTTTATCTTGTCACAGTTAATAATTGTTGTATCTTGAAAAATAAAAATTAAAGTATTCTAAAAAAAGAAAAATCCAACATGTAAGTCTACTTTTATTGTTTAGAAACATGGATATTGATTGTTTTGATTAAAAAAAGCAAAAAAAAAAAAAAAAAAGAAGAAGAAGAACAAAACGGCTGTCTTTACTTCTGGCTCATAGAACCTGATGTCTGTTTTTCTGCAGCAGCAAGCTAAACATGGACCAATCTGGCCAACAAGCCCATGTCTGGTGATCTGAGACGCCAATAAAAACCTGGCAGTATTTCACTGTTAGGCTAATAGAAGACCTCCTGCCTGTTTACTACAGTCTCAGGTTGCGTTTAATGGAGCTGAGAGGCTTTTAAAGGATATTCCCAGCCCTATATTCTTTCATTTGTGGGACATCAAATATATATTTTCACCCCAGTTCCCCTTTGGTCCCTGTTTTTATTCATTTCCCTTTTTCAGTACTATTATTTTGATCCTACTCTCTTTTTTTACACTTAATTCTTAATCTTTTATGTCTCTCCTCTCTCAACACTCCTGTTTCTAATAATAATCGGACACTTGATTGATCCCTGCAGGGAGGTGACGCCGCCACATTTAGAGAGGTCAAAGCACAAAAGTCAACGAACAGCGTCTCACAGCTAACAGAGATTCCCTGTTGAGCTTTTATCCGAGCCAACAAACACAAGGTCACGTCTTTCAGCTTTGATTTCTTTCGGCATCTAACGCTGCAGCCTCCTCGCCTTACCCTGGGGATCGACATCCTTTGCCAGTTTGAGGGCGTCGGAGTTGGCCAGGTCGGTGTTTGCCGGGGTGACGGCCAGGATCAGGCAGCTCTCTCTGCTGATGAACTGCATGATCATGTCCCTGATCTGCTGCTCGATGTCCACAGGCTGGTCTCCAACTGGCACCTTGGTGATTCCCGGCAGGTCGATGAGGGTCAAATTCAACACTGCGGAGACACAGGAATGCAATAAATGAAACGTATTCCAGAGCCGGACCAAGGGAATGCGAGACAAGTGGCTGCTTGGGGCCTCCGCACCACTAGGGGGCCCCCAGAGCACCAAACTAGCGTGAAATGACAAAAAAAAAATATATATATATATATATATGTGTGTGTGTGGGTGTGTGTGTGTGTGTGTGTGTGTGTGTGTATAAACACTGAATAACTCAGACTAAATGGTATTACACATGGAAAATCAGATTTTAGTTTGGAACTGCAACATTTACAGATGTAGGAATAACATAGTGAGAATATGAATTTGACAAGCCAAATAAACCAAATTATTGCTGTTAATTTTCTACTGTGCAACTTTGCAAACAGCACTTGTATTTCACCATAGGAAATACATGTTGGTCTGATTTTCTTATTATAGCATTTTAAAGAAGTAGTGTAATAATACATCTACTGTGTTCAAAGTTAAACAGTCTCTCTGCTCTTTAACATAAAACTATTTTTACAAGCTAGTATGCTAGTTTTGCTAGCTAGTTTAAACAGTCAATAGTGATTAGATGGTATGAAAATCTCATAATAACAAACATCAAGGTAAATAAAAGTTTATGTTTTGCGAAAAATATTTTTCAATACTGTGTAAATTACATTTTACACAACATTTGAGCAGTACATCACAGAAGGAAGAACATTTTAGCCCCTTTTATGCTGTTCCTATAAATTTTCCCCAAACTCCATCTGTTACTAATGCAGCCAAAGCGTAATATTTATCTCACTAATGCTGGTTTATTATTATATTGGAATCACTTTTTCTCCATCTGGCGTTCAGTAATGGCATATTATTCCTATTGCTAATCTGCATGCTAAATACATAGCTACGTACCAGCTATGTGCTGTATTTTAATTAGCAGTTTAGCTGCTACCTGACAGAAAAAAGTTAATTTCTTTTTTATATACTGTGATGGACTGGTGACCTGTCCAGGGTGACCCCGCCCGTCACCCGTTGACCGCTGGAGGTAGTCACCAGCACGCCTTGCAACCCCACTAGGGATAAGCATGCAAGATGATGGATGTAATTTTTTATATAATCATAAATCAATTCAAACAGTACTATAATAAAAATAACATGAACCATTTTATTTATATATAAAAAGCTTATTGTATTCAACTGAAATAAAGTAATTACTTAAAAAGCCGGACAGACCCTCGTTCTGATCAAATCCCTACAGTAAGACATCATTACCAATATCTGGAATCTGAAGTAGTTCTACCTCCTTAGGTGATTTGTTTTATTATTCATACAGATTATAAATGTAATGTACACCATCGAACAGAATGCCCTCATCTTTGTTTCCACTGACATAGCTTTAATAAACATCATCCACCGGCCCTTCGCTGTGAATCACATCCTGTCACACCCTGTTTAGATCCAGAAGAGTTTCAGCGGTTTGTCACTAAGTTGACATTAAGAAGAAGAGAAGCGGTGCGATCTCATCCGTACCGTGAGGGGAGTAAACCCGCAGGTTGATGGGGACGGGAGATATGCCTTTGTTGGCCCCCGTGACCCGATCGGTCTCGCCCTCAATCTCTTGGCGCACCTCGTCGAAGTCGGTGAACTTTTTCCCCTTGCAGTGGAGGAATTCAGCCCATTCTGTGGGGAAGGGAAAAAAAAGAAAAGAAAGAAAAACATAAAAACATGCACCAAAGATTAGTAATGGTTGCACTGAGTGGAACAAAATGCCGACGGAGGAGGGAATAAAAAGCAGCACCATTTAGAAAGAAAGGAGGATTTTCTGTGTGTGTGTGCGTGTGTGTGTGTGTGTGTGTGTGTGTGCGTGTGTGGATGTGTGTGTGAGTGGACAAAATGTGTCTGTTATTTGGCGTGGGTGTGTGAAATGTGTGTGGAACCCACCAGCGTTTGCACTGATGAGCTGCAGAACCAGAGGCCTGCGGGTGACGATACCAGAACCGCGAGGCAGAAAGTCCCTAAAGAGGAAAACACAAATCAGAAAAGTCCTTTTAAAGCCACATCTATCGTGAACTCACAGTGATAAGTGTTTGTGGACTGTGCTGGTTGTTTTCTAACAACATGCCAAATGCAGCAGAGTTTTCCTTGCCGTTTCTTTAATAGAAAAAAAAAATCCTGTTAGTGAGCTCAAAACAGCTCAAACCAGAAGCCATTTCAAAATGGAGCCTGCAGCTTTCAGCTGGTGTCTCTCTGAGCGAGGGAGCAGAACATTCCGACCAGATAAACAGCAGGTCCGGATGAAGAGCTGACAGGGGCGCTCGCTCATTTGCAAAACGGTGACTTCGATGTTTTCTGGAGGGCTATGCACACAGGTGATGAATATGCTTGTGCGTGCGTGCGTGCGTGCGTGCGTGCGTGCGTGCGTGCGTGCGTGCGTGCGTGCGTGTGTGCGTGTGTATGTGTGTGCGCATGCACATAATCTGAACCTAAAAGTGTATACCTTTGAGGCTAAAGGCATGCTGCAGGAAACCTTATCAACAAATATTCCCTGAGAGGGACGACGTATGGGACAAGCCTTGAAGAAACGATGAGGCCTCTGTGAGTCTACTCAGCAGAGTGCAGAGCCAGAGGTGGACAGATGGACCATTACTCAGCACCATGGCGCTCACTGAAAGGCTGGAGGACGACTAAATCAATGCACCCAACTGAAACAGTGCACTGAAATATTTGGGTATGTCGAACCACGTTACTGCAGGTTTGTGTTGGGTTTTTGTTGAGAGCTAACAGGAAATAATGCTACTATTTACCAAATTATGAAAGACTGAGTTATGTATATGAATATAAGCGTTAGGGGCTAAAGCGTGACTTCATCCATTCACCTGATTAGCCCCTATTTGATTAAACTCAAAATTCCAGAGCAACACCATGAATATTCATTTGTGCATTCCAGAGTGGGAGCTGCTGCATGTGGGTGGTGTTTTAAAAAGGTTACACACATTAGAGCATTTCTGCAGCCAGCTTTCTATGCATAAAACTGTGGCTCTATGGCAGAAAAGAGACAAGTTCTCTAGACCTAGCTGTGACATTAGTCCTTTAATCCTAGAAATGCTCTTCAGGTGATAAAAGGCTGATTTTGTAATTATCGAAGCGAACTGTGCTGCTTTTCAAGGCCACCACAGAACTACCAACAGAGTGTTAAAGAATTGTCAACTGTGTTAGTTGTTCAAACACAATTGAACAACTTGTTCAAAAGTTTCATATTTAGACCTATGACACTTACATGTAGTTTCATAGATCTAAATCTGTGAAACTATTCATAGATTTAGAATTATTGTAAAGCACATAACATACACAAACATTCCAGTTTGGACATTCAGTACTTGAATGCACCATAACAGCATTGCTGGCCTGGCCTTATTTACTGCTGTGCAGTTTTTTGGACTGGTTGAATGTTTAAGGCAGCTGGATTTACACTTTAGCTAATTCTTCTCTAGTACCAATGATGTTAACTTGCTGTTGTTTTAAGGGTGTAATTCGCTCTTAAAACAGTCCCTGTAATTCAGTTGCACAACAGGGTATGCACCATATTGCTGTTGAAAGATGTCTTTGTTGACATTATGTTTTGGCTCTGTAAACTTTCTTTCTCCAAAGTGGCTCCAAACGGCAGAGTGTGCCGTTTGGGAACACTCTGCCGTTGTTCCTAAACGGCAGAGTTTTGCAATAGCTATAGGAGTTCTGGTGTCACTTTTTAAAGTTGTGTGACAGAACACTGTATTTTTGTTCTGAATATAAACGTTCTGCATGCCCACGGGTATATATGATGCTATTTTTGTTCAGTACACATGCATAGTGACCTGACATGTACTGCTAACTTAGTTAAAAGTTAGAATTTGTCACAAGTTGCATTTTATGGACAGTGTAAGTGGAAGCTAATCCACAAATAAATGCCAATAATTTTGTCTTTCTCTACTGTACTGAGTCTGTATTGAATCTGACTATGAAACCAAATTAGTCAAATAACAAAATGAGTAGTGTTGTCCCGTTAAAAGCAACTTTATCAGCAAATATTCAGAGCTCTTTAGCAACTAATGTAATAGTACCATTTCTTTAAAAAAAACCCCAACTCAAATCCAAAGTAATCAGATACTTTTGACTGTTTCTTGATGTCTTTAAACATACCCAAATATTTTAATAAACAAATGTTTATTCTCTTTGTCACAATTAGTGACTGTATGATGGTTTTTTTTATGATGTAAAGCACAAAAAACGTGACTTAACTTGGTGACTTATGATGTAGACAATTGCTGCCGTCCTTACAGAGGAATTGGCAACACTGATTTACAGAAATATTTGCTTCATATTGAACTACGATCCCTAACAGGTAATTTGCTGAAAACAGAAAACAGGTGATCCAACTTTTTTTAAAAAAGTGTTACTAGTAATCAAATTAAGTTTAAATATACTATAAATATACTATATAGTAAATATACTAAGCTTATTAAGTTGTCATGTTAAACAAACATAGATGAAGTTTAGCAAACTTAATTTGATTACATGTAATGAATTAACTCAACCATTTTTTAAGATGGATCTCAATTTTTTATGTTTTTTTTCTTCAGTGTTTGAACTGGAATTTGTGCCACGCAACACCGGGCTCTGGATGCTTATTGGGCCAGAATCCCCAAAGGTGCTGCTGTAACCCACATAAAGTTGTGGCTGTGTGTGACCCAGTGCGGATGGTTTGGAAAAAACTGAAGGACGGGACTTGACTGAGTGGCAGATAATGATGGTCTGCAGACAGCCTCGTGCACTGCGTGGCTTCTTACGTCATCCTCAAGGTTAAACGGGAGAAGGGGATTATCCTATTTCTGGTGGTCAATTTTTACCTGCCGACGAAGTTCTCCAGCACGGAGCTCTTGCCTGCGCTCTGCCCGCCGACCACCGCAATCTGCGGCAGGTCCAGGTTGCAGGCCTGGCCGATGGAGCTGAAGGCATCCTGCAACCGGTTGACCAGCGGGATCAGATCCTCCATGCCACGATTTCCCATGGTGCCTTTAGTCAGGAGGACTTGGAATCAGCGAATGGAGACAGAAGGGAGGTGAGGGGGGGAGGAGGAGTAAGAAGAGTAGGGGACGTGGCGCTGCTGTATTATTAGTCCAGGACTACCGTGGCGCTTGTTGATGTGGCGGAGTCATCTAGCCGCGCATTGCCGCCCCCCCAACCCTCGAGCCAAGCGAGGGTCGGACGGGCTGTGGAGACAGAAACAAGACAGGGAGAGTCAGAAAAAGGACAGAGAGACAAACTGCGCAGGAGCACAACCTGTTTTTTGTTCCTCTCTCTTTTCTTTCTTTCTCTCCCTCCAACACAAACACACATACGTCCAGAAAAGCCTTTTGCTGTCAAGGACATTCACCGACCGGAGCTCAGTTTCTTCACAATGCATACAAAATCAAATAAAACAACACCGAGGCCACCTGCCCTTCTGCACGCGCACACGTCGCGCGACATTTAATGAATTAAAAAAAGATAGCGTCAGATGAACGCGTGACATTATTAGCGTGAAGCTCACCTGTGTTGTTGTGTCGTTTGTGGGGGTAGTGGAAGGGGGAGGCTCGCTCAACCTCAGGGTTCCCCCCTCCTGGTTCTACGCGTCTCGGCTCGCCGGTGTGTCGCTGTCCGGTGCTGAAACGACCAGGCGGCCGAAGACGAGCGTCGACACTCCGCGATGTTACACAAGCGCCACGCGCTCCGACTGCCGCTACACCGTCTGCTCACAGTCCACAAAGTAAACCGCGCACCTGTGGTCGAACGTCAGCGCGAGCAGAAATTCGCCTTTGACAGATTAATAATAATATTTTCTCTCTCTCCCTCTCTCTCTCTCTCTATCGCCTTCGTCTCTCTCTCCCCGCTTCTCTGCGGTGTGACTGCGAAGCTGCAATCGACGCGACGGAAGACCAATGAGAGAAGAGAGATCTGCGAGCGATGCGGCGGAGCGCGGCTTCCCATTGGTCGAGGAGGTTCAGGTTAGGCCTCGCGCGTCCGGCCTCCTGTTTACATCCCCTTCGCCGCTCCTGCCCCCGTCGTGAGTCATGCGGCACGGCTGCGCATCACTGCAACACGCACAGGAGGATGCGCCTCTTCAGATCCCCGCAGTGGGAGCAGAAAGTACCAGTTGTTAAAAAAAATCACTCATATATATCCTTTCATATCGCTATGTTTTATGCACGTTGCAAAAAAAAAAAAAAAAAAATTAACAAAGAAATGGGAAGGAGGTGGAAAACATGGCCTCGCAAGTGCAGGAGAGATTCACGACAGATTCAACATAGCAAAAGTGTGACATTTGGGTCCAGACAGCCACTAGTGTCCGAGGCTCCTGCTGGTGGAGGCGGTCATGCGGAATGGATGCTGTCTTAACCTCTCACAGGCCAACATTTGTGCCCGCTGCTGGAGGAAGTGTCTTCTCTTGGCTACAGATGAGATCTGTCATTGATCTGACGGAGAGGTCTAATATGCTCCTAAAGGCCCTCTGGCTGTGATGTTGAAAGCAGACTTGAAATTCACCGAGGGCAGAGAAAGCAAAGCTATTCGGGTCGCTCATTCATTTCTAGGCCACAAAATGTCATTATTGTTGAATTTGCCCTTGTCATCATGGACAGGCCTCTGGAGTCGATGCAACGTGATGTGATGAACGCTAGATGGCGGTAATGATCTATTCAACTGTTTGTCTCCGCCACCAACGTCCTTATTGGTTATTTAGGACGATGTATTAGGACCATTTGTCGACGAAAAAAGTAACTAAATTTGCGCCAAAAAAAACCTCAGAATTTTTGAGAATGATCTTAGAAATTTTCTAGAAAAACAAGAAAAATTCGAAGATTTGTGAGAAAAAAAATTGAGGTTAATCTTTTCCAGAAACTTATTACACATTTCTGAGTTTGAAAAGTGAAAAATTTGCTAGAAAAAAAGTCAGAAATTTAAAGCATGAGTTCAGAGGTCCCACAGATGAAATCTCAGAAATTGTCCAGAAAAATCTAGGAAATTTCTGAGTTTGAAAAACCAAGAATTTTCTAGAAAAAAATTTTTAGAGTTTCAAAACTAAAAATCATTTGACTTCTGAAACTCACTTTTATGAGTTTCATGTGTTTTTCTAGAAAATTTCTGATGTTAATCCCAAAATGTCTGAGTTTTTCAGCATAAAATGACTCCTCTTTTTTCCTAACGGCCCTCTACGCCATCACAGTTATTCCACATCCAAGATGCTTGTTTTCATAAACTCTGAGGAGTTTATGAATGAGTTGCCTGTTAACATCGTGTCCTCAAACTGGAAATGTCAGGAGCATTTGGACAGTGATGACCAGACAACTGGGTCAGAGCATCTCTAAAACTGCACCTCTCTTGTGAGATGCTCCCAGTCTGTAGTGGTCAGTAAATAAAGTGGTCAAAAGAATGCAGTGAACTAGTTATTCATTGCTGGAACCAAATAATGATCTGATACTGCTGCTCAAACTGCAGATAGTTCTGAGAGACGGGTGTCAGATTACACAGTTTGTGGAGACCAATCAAGGAGATTACAATATTACAGCTGAGCAGTACATACAGTAAAAAGTAAGGCTGCTGGCCTATAAATCGGCCCCGATTTCTTTAATTTTGAGTGATCGCGATTGGCTGATGCTCGCAAGAAAAACTGATCTTATTCACCGATCTACTTCTGCAATGGTTTGAAAATCAGCTACTATCCCATTTTGCTCTGTTGTGAGAAACGTTGTGCTGATAGACCTGGTCAAGTTTCCACACCAGTGGTTAACAATTGTCACCCCACTGTTGCCGACTTGACGACTTTGTCGATGTATTTCATAACGCTTTAGACAAATAACAATCAACATCGACCAAAATCAGAATTGGGTTAGGGTGAGGGTCAGCCAGAAAACTGCAATTGGTGCACCGCAAGTAAAAACACAAGTTAAGATCATGCATTGAGGTTCTTGTTTCCTTTTGTTTTTTTCATTATTACTATTCTGTAGCTTATTGGTGTCCGATCATTTTCTTGTCCTTCCTGCTTGTGAACAGTGCTACGAGAAGCATTTCCTCCCTAACGCATTTCTTCTGTTTTCTACTTTTACGTCACATTTAAATATTTCCGATCACCAAATAAAGACACCAACTGTAAATGTGTTGATGATGCCACACATGTGGCTGAAAAGGTTTGTGTTTGGAGCTTTGTTGTTAACCATTTGCCTGACTTTACAGCAGTAGTGATATGAACTTGCTTACTCTGTCATCTGCAAGAGAGAGGAAAAACAGAGAAGGCACGCGTTTCCTCTTTAGCGATGCACCGCGCGGCTTACACACATCCAGTCTGAGTGCGCACACAGATGGAACAAGAGCTGCTACTGTAATTAGCAAAAAAAAATAAAAAGACTTTCAACGCAGGCAGTATGTCAGGAATCCTGGGAGCC